CATTATTTTCCGTCTTTACTGTATATAAACTGTCAAATAAGACAGACCTGAGTGAGAGAATGTTTTCAATCGGCTTCACTTCACATATAATGCCTGAATTGCACATTTATCCCTGCAGCTTATTTTAAAACTAGTAACTGGTTGACTGTAAGGTTGGGGGGAAAAAAGAAAAGAAAAAAAAAAATTTTCATTAGTCCTAAAGCTTTTCCTATTCTTTGGAAAAATTTAAGTGATGATCTTGAGTGGTAGTTTTTGGAGCGAGACAGTTTTATTTCAAATTGCTGTGATTCATATAAAATAATCGCTTAACTAGAACATTAAGATTCTCCTTACGCGATCACTTAAAGTGATAAAATGGTTAAACACAAAAATAGTATGGGTCAAACCACAGCAACAACATTCGTACAGTTCTCAACACATACTTTTCCATTTTTACAGTGACTACAACCATTTTAACACAAATCAAAATTTGAAAATCTCATCTCTCGCCATAAAATGTCAGCTACACGTCTGTTTTCAAGGCAGCTCCAATCTTTTCACAATGTTAATGTCAAAACCATTCGATATTTAAGGTGAGACCTTCAAAAGTGCCATGCGTTAGCCTCTTCCTGGTCCCCCCAAATCTCAGCGGAACTCCTACGCTCACGCTGGCAGAGCCAGATTCGTAACTGCACTGAGTATGTCCCGACTTGTCCGTGTTTGCCACTACAGACCTGATCCAAGTCACACTAAACCCAACCTCTGGTGAGCAGGAGCGGGGCCCTGCAGGGCAGGCTGGCGCAGACTGGCAGGGGAAGAGCAGAGCTCCTCCAGCCGCAGGCGGAGACCAGCCCCCGAGCTGGGCCAGGCCTTTCCCACCGCTCCAACGCACCTTCCCTTCCAGGGTGACTCAGCTGCTCTACCAAGGGCAGCGTCGGAGCGAGGTCAGATTTTAACCTCTCCCTCCCTCCTCCTTGTCCTGCCCCCGCACTGAACAGGGAACCGTGGCTTACTGGCAGCTGTGCTCTTCCTTCTGCAGAGAGCAGCGATGTCAGCCGGTCACGGCAGAGTAAGGAGCTTGTTCAGAGAGGGCTCCGTGCGGGAGCTGGATGGGGCCCCCCATTACTTACCCTTTCCTCACTTCGACAACCTGTTCGTAGTTATTAACTGCGAGCAAGCAGCCTGAGCAATCGTAACATCCCTCATGCAACACAGAAATGCACTTTGTCTTAAAAAGTCATCTTCTGTAGAAGCCCTCAAAACCGGAGATCCCTGTTCCAAAATGTCATCGTTTGTTTTCCAGTAACACTGGATAACCCGCAAACTTACAGACACGGGAGCTGTCTCAGGCCAAGTCACCAGACGCCCTGACTGAGCAGCGGCTGTTACCCAAAAGATGCAAGTACCTCTTCACAAAGTGACAAGCCCTGTTTAAGTCCATGGGAACAGGACACACGCAAAGGTACACCTATCCTTCAGCAGCTCACTGAGGAGAGAAGTGCCTGCTAACGGGGCCTGAAGTAGATGTTTAAATATTTTGCTGAAGTGGGTTTCTCAGAAGATCACATAACCTGATTACCTATTATCATAAAAATAGGTCAATCTTAAAGTTTATGAACCATAAAACCATAAAAGCAAAAAGAAGTCTGTTTGCTTCCAAAAAGTCTACAAAAAATCCAGTAATACCAATTTAGTGAAGTATTAGAACAGGTCAAAATTACATGGGACTAATGTGGAACTAACTTTGCCTGCTGAGACACTACCACGGACATCACTTAACCAATAACTTACTAATCATTTACTTGACTCTCAAGTTTTTCCATCCAACATCTCATATATATATATATATATATATGCATACTCATTTTACCACTGAAACATTCTCATTATTGAAAAAAAAACCCAACAAAACACCCCAAAACCCAAACGTGATGAAATATAAATCCTTAAGCAGCCACTCCACACTTTCATTAAATCTTATCAAAAATTTACATTCATCTTTGGAAACTGTTTGGTCTACAGAAGCATAACACTTTGACACTGACATGAGTCTTAAATTTGACACCTATGCCCAAAGGACATTTAAGCCCAGATCCAAACAAGATTTGAACATTCAAGTTGTGTGCCTAATTTCAAACTGGACATCTATAAAAACCTAACATGCTGTAAGGCCACTTAAAACTCCTGCAACACTCCAAATTTCTCACCTGAAGTTCTCACAAATCTGAACATTCACCATTTGCACCCGTGCAGACTGAATAGCATCATGCTTAACTAATTCCTGAATCAAATCCAGACTAAGAAAATACACACACCTCTACCAAAGCTTCCTGTCAGATTCAGTGAATATTCCTGAAGCATACACCTACCCAATCACACTCTTGATATAATGTAGTGGTAGATGACACTGTATTTTAAGCTGGAGAAAACAGACAGTGCACCCGTCTCCTCCTCCCTTCTTAAAACATTAATGTACAGTGAGAGCTCCCACCTAGAAAGATGAGAAATGTATCCCATTATTTTTAAGAGACACAAACCCTTACTTTCCAGGAATGCTTTAATCACAAGAACAGGATTATTCCAAGTGGCAACAGCCTCTGTCTCCTCTTGAAATCATAGAGTTACATCCAAAAAACAAGTCCAGAATGAGCCAGAAAGCAGGAGTACGCATGACTCATACCATAAGTAATTAAGGACACTGGGAAAGAGACTGGGTTCTCAGTCCTGTTCCAAGAATTGTTTCTACATTTTATGGGTTAGGGCATCTCCTCATAGGTATAAAATGCAGATTGGAAATTCTTCTGGCAGATGAAGGAACCCTGAATTGTCCCCTCTTGAGCAAGCATGCTAGCCGCTATGCATTTACAATACAGGGACAATGCCCATCTCATTAGTGTTTCAAAAAAATTGTAGACTCCAGGCTGAGACAACCACTGTTTGATCTGAGCTATGATGAACTAGCAAAGGGACTTCCCTTTGAACCAGGCCCCAAAACTTTGTATTAGTAGTTCCAACCAGTTTTGGGCTGAAGCACATTTCAGGCTTTCACGATTTTTGTCACAGCATACCTACATCCCCTCAGCAATATTCTGCACGCTCACATGCCTCTGACCAACAGGACTTTCAGTTGTCGTTAAATTACCGCTCCTTTGGAGAAAGCTATACATTGAGGGCACATTTCACAACTCATACACCAATACGGGATGCAAGTCTCTGTTAGAAACTGTATCTGTGTGCTGCAGGGATAAAAATGTAGATGTCTGAATCTTATTAACTCAAAGACCCCAAGAAGGCTCTCTTTCAGAAGCACATCAGAGGATAAACATACTCCAAAACACAAAATTTAAATGCTTCATAAACTCGCAGATCAGACTGAGTCAGCATAACTTTATATCAGGCTCTCCTGTGGAAGGAGGAGACAGAGAAACAGGAGGAACAGTAGGTTTTCTGCTGGAATTGTATTTACATCCACATTAAGACTTGCAGGCAAAAATATACTTAAAAAAAAAATCAAACACTGAACACTTTTACAGCGTTGAGGTCTGTAACAGTAACAGGGCCTAGAAGACCTAGATAAGAATGACTGCAATTCCCTGCACTATTTTTGGCCTGCTAAATGCAGGTCCACCCCATCTGCAAAAGAGAGATTACATTATCTTTTCTCATCTTCCATTTAGTGATGAAAATATGACATGACAGAGAAGTATTACTATTCCTGGGCAACAATAATGTAATTCACAGAAAGATAAAAGACTAGCTTCACCTATCATGCAAACAATTCAAAATTTCTTTCTCATTATGACATCAAATCCTAACAAAACGGTGAAGAAAGTCTTTATCATTGCCTAATTGTTGAAGAAGATATTTCAAAAAGAGAGCAAAACCACATAACTGACAATGTAGAGCCTGGAAAACTTTGGCTCCAAACTTGAAAGTTCATCTGCAATCCCAAGAGGCCACTGCGTTCTCTCCAGGCAGTAACTGGCGCCTCTATAATTTAACATTTCTGCACAAACTTAAAAAAACATAAATCCAGCTGGAAGAGGCAAGATGATTCAACGTCATTATCCTTCCTGCACTGAGGAAATGCAACAGTGCACCAATGACTCGAGGAGGACGAAGGGGAAAACCCCAACGCCGTTAACTTTGCTGGCCGCACCGAGCGCCTGCACGCTGTAACTCTGCTGGCACGCAGGAGAATTCCAGTTGCTGCAACCTGTCTCTAATCAAACCACAGCATATTCTTTCTACTAGGTTCCTTTTTTTTTTTTTCCCCCCAGAAAGGAAAAATACTACTTCAGGGAAAAAAAAAGCCATAAACTGATCCAGAGAACAACAACAAAACAGCACTTACATGGCTTCTTGGGACATTTCTGGCATTTGTTAAAACCCCAGGAAGTGCCCACGGTCCCACAGCAGTCTTCTTGCTTGGAAAGGCCAGGAAGGGCTTTGCCACACTGGAACAGTCAGGTAAAGAATACTCCGGTTAGTGATACTACACGGTGCTCACTTCTAGTACAATGTTCTTTTTCAGTCATCTTGGGGCAAGCTCCTGCTGAGACACTGAAGATCCTCCGGAGCTCTCGGCCGAACTCAATAGTGCCCGTGCATCGCCACGGCTCTCCACAGGCACGAGTAAATTCGGTGACATTATTATCCTCCCCCGTGTCACTTGAAAAGGAGGAGGAAGAAACAGAACAGCATGTCACAGGAACGAGCAAGTGCATTTCCAAGGCAGTAACTCGCCATTGGCACCTATTCCCATTCCCTACATTTTTCCTCATAAAAGCGCGCTCATCCACTTTTTCAGAAGCTGTATAAATTGACTCAAATACCTTTCTAATTACTCTCTTAAAGACAGACAAGAAGTGTGACTGTGATTTCTATAACGATATTTCCTATTAAAAAGCCTCAGCTTCCTGCCAACCTATGTTTAATGTTTATGACCACTTACTGAAAATCGCCAAATTATGACAGATTCTGCTGCCCAGATACTGAAGGTAACACAGATAAGATGACTGAAGCAGAAGTGTTATTCCAAACAACTGTTTCCCTATGCAAATATTTAAATTAATCTTGCAATAATTTCTGAGGTCAATATTCTCTCCCCCCGCCCCCCCAACCAAGAATATACTTATTATGCTTTTTATTAATAAGAATACTAACTGTTGGAAGCTTACAAGGCACTAGTTATGTTCTTGACTTTCAGAATTTTCTTCCATTTTGAACGGTAAAGAAAGCTGAAATGTACGTCAGAGATGCAGACATTAAAAAATCCATCTAAACCTGTCCATTTGGTACAAAATGGCAGCGCTCAAAGCCCAACAGAAGCGCCCAAGAGCTGCACTCAGTCACCCTTCCAAAGCAAATGCTGACCTAACAGGCACTGCAGCAACCACTGCAGATGGGCCCAAGTGGGAATCTCCGCACAGAGCGAACAGACCGCCCCGAAGCCAACCTCCCCTCCTGACAGCACACAAACCCCTGACCCGAACGCTCGCTGCCCCTCAGCTTCCAGCTCGAGAGAGCGGCTCACCCGATGGCCCAGGCTGGCGCCTTGCGGGGGCCTTCACTTCAACCGGCAACCCAGGCACTCTGCAGCGGGGACGCACGCCGAACGCACAGGCACTGACAGCTCCCTCCACCCTTCCCAAAAGTCCTCCAGTGTGCTCTGAATCGTGCTGACACCACGAGTAGTCGTGTCTCTGAAGGATGGAGTTACTCGGCGTAGCTTCACAAACAGGACAGCGGGCTGCCCCACAACGTCAGGGCTCTGACTCGTCAGAGGGTCCCCTCTTTGCGCGGGGAGGGCTGGCAAGGCACCATCCCAGCCATCTCCTCGGCCCCTCTCACACAGTTACTCCCCAGGCGCCTCCTCAGCAACAAATGAAAAGCAGCACCAGTGTGCCGTTCAAACACCAAGCTGTAATGTGCAACCTGCAGCAGCTCAGCACTTGCTGCATGGGTCGCTTAGTCATCGGTCAAAGGATCCGTGAGCGGCCGGGAGCACCCTCTGTCCCAGTGAAAACCAGTGAAATGGAGCTTTTAGCACCAGCACAACTTCGGTTAGCAACAGGGTAGCACCACTCGTGCTCTGAGCATCACTTTAGGGTGACACATAATCAGTATAAAGAACAGAGGGGCCAAACACATGAAAAGAGACTGTTCAGTTATTGGGCAACTCGAGGAGTCTATTTTCACACTACTGTCTGCAGAGGGTCTTGTGACAAGTTGTCCCATGTTTCAAGGGGTGAGAAACAGTCCTTGCCTGGATGGTATTTGGCTGTGTTAAAAAGTAAAGTGTCTAAGCAAGTCCCACCTTTCAGATGCAGGCCCAGGCTTACACTGTGTGAACACGTCTTTCAGGCTGTCTTGCACCCCCCTGGCTTGGGCACTGGCAGGATTAGGACTAGACTGACGTTCCTGATCAGCCAGTCAGAGTCTGCTGAGTTCTGTTTCCAGAGGAACTCTCTGCTTGGAACTTCACAAAGGCCATCAAGATCCATAAACACGGAATTCTGCACAACCCCCTCTGCTGCAGAAGCCTGGCTCTTTTCAAAACAGGAACTAGCTCTTTTGACTGCCTCTAGCTAGATGATAAACAGGTCTTGCTGCCGTTCCCAGAAGCTCAAAAATCATTCAGCTGGAGAGTACTCATAACATCTCCTCCAAGTGACTGCCCCAAAACCTTAGAGAATTCATGTTGCGTCTTTACACAACGCTGGTTTCTCAGCTCGCATCCCAGGTGAGCATGCTCTGGGAAGGACCATTTTACTGTTAATCACAGCCACTCAGTTTTATTTTATAATTACAGCTGCTCAATTCCTTTTGTAGAGCAGGGACTGCTTCTTCAAAGACAGAGAAGCCACTTACTCTACTGTGGTTGTCATTGAGTCAGCTAAACCAATCTGCACTTGACTCTTCTCCCTGCCTTGTGCCTCAGCTTGACAACTCTGAAAAAAGGTGGAAGGAATCAAAGCTGGTGCTACACCTCCCCTTATGATCTCAGAAATGGAGCATGTGGGCAGTGAGGCACATTACCTAACATCCAGTATTCCTCTGCACGGTCACAAGCCTCAAGGACACATCCCAGCAGCTCGTGTGTGTCAAGGCAAGACTCCGCTAGCATGAGAGCCAACGTGCCATCACAAACTGCCCCCCCCCACCTTTTTTTTTTTTTCCTTTCTCCCCAGAGCAGAAAAGGTGTCATTTAACAGTAGTAAATTAAAAGCATATAAAACAAAGGACGGGGGGAAAAAAAAAAAAAGGAGGAAGATGGACTAAAGCCCACTTTTCGTTTAGGTGTGGTGCTACAGCATTTGCACTCTACTGAAAATCATGATCTCTGTGGTCATAACTTTTTCAAATTTCCATATAAAAACCATGAGCAAAAACAAGGATGCCAAAGTCTGAGTCATCTGGCAACTGTGGTTTGTAGTCCTGTCAGTAAAAACTGGCAATGATTAAAGCTGCCGCTCCCACTGCCCCTACGGTGAATTAAAGCTCGAAGAATCAATGGTAATTTGGTTAACATCCAGATCATTGTAGAAACTGGCCAGCAAGGAAAAACAACTGCCACATGGGGTTCCTAGTGGTGTCAGACCTGTGTAATTTTGGAGCTATGCATCAGAAAAAATGACTGCTCTGCTAAGTCCTAAGCCAAGCAGAAACAGAGAGTTCTATGGCTAATAAACCCTGATTTCTCTGGTACATCTAACAGCGCTTCAGATACTTTCAACACTCATGGCACTGCACAAACCGTTTCCTAGTCAGCTACAGTTTCTTAAGATGCTTCTCCCTTTCACAAACCCTAAGCAACATGAACTGAAGCTCTGTTTCTACAGGTCTAAAAAACTTTTAGGTAATTTCTATCCACTCCAAAAGTCTTGCCCACTTCCTACTACTGAGAAGAACTCACTAGTTCTTCAGTCTGTTGCAGTCTCTGAGTCACAAGTGACTGGAAAAGTCACTTGGGGAACCCATAACTATTTTTAGTTTGTCTTGCCATTCAACACAACTCCAACACATAAATACGAGCCTAAAATAAGCCGGGAAGCTAAACACAAGCATACAGTTTGCACTATGCATGAAGATGATGACATTCCCTAAGCTTAGGTTTACGCTCTTCTATCCATCATCCACACACATTTTAAACTAATCTAGCCCGTATTCCTGAGGGCTTCTGGAAAAGAGAACAGATTTTCATGAATGATACCTCTGTCACAAGCTTATAATTTGGATGCAATTCTTACTGGTTTGAAGGCAAAGAAGTCATGAAGGATTGGTATAAAAGAGCTCAACTGTGCTGAAAGAGGCTCAGCAGTTGCAGCAGTATGAGGCACACATGGTACTGCTATAAAATAAAGTTCTTCCTGGGTAAAGCACTCACAGACACTGAAAGTATTGTTTGGAATCCACATATTTTTCCCCATGCGTGCCTGGGCTTCTATGCCAATATTTTATATAACTGAAGGAAGTACTGAATATTCCCACTGGTAGACTGAAATTCTGGCTGACCCTGTGCTGGTGCACAAAGGCCACCCCAAGCCACATCACCTCTTTGTTCCTCTGTCCAGGCTCCAGCCTCTGTCCCATCTCCCCAGTCTTGGGGCACTAACAGTACTGGAGTTGCACACTGCCACCAGGGTTTCATGTGTTTTCCAAAGCCAGGGGAAAGGAAGGATTACACCCTCAAAATCCCCCTGCTCAGGCAGTAGAAGGCATTTATTGAGCTCCCTGAAAAGCGCAGTAGCGAGCCCTGCCTGGCAATTAGTCTCAAGGCAACTGCGGAGGATTCTGGCCGAGGGACCACGACGTTTCCTGGGACTGACTCCCGCTCCTGTGTGACCCATCTACAAATCCCTGTCACAGGCTGTCAGTTAAAGCCACAACCCAGGCACAAAGGAGTGTCACATGATTAACTGTGATGGAAACTGATCGGTGCTTTGCCCGAGTTAATAGCTAATGACTCCGGGAGGCAGCTCCAAAGACTGCATTTCACAGACCACAATAGCACAAGTGAATGGATTCGCTGTTTAACTTTCTGTAAACTATTCAGCAGGCACCGACCTTGGATTGGCGCTGCTTTTTTTTCCTATAGGCGTGACAAACTTAATAAACCGTATTACTGAAGCCATTAACAAACATACTTAAGTAGCTCACTGACCAGCTGAATGACAGGTTGTTACCCATGAAGAGTATTATCCCATGTAGCACTGGCTCACTAACAGGCATTGTCTCATAAGCAGGAGAGAAACTTAAATACTTCCAGACATTCTAAAAGAACTGGTAAAGAATTTGTTTTGGCTTAAGCAGAACATTCTTCATAGGCAAGTAAAAATTATCCAGCTTTCTTCTATTTGAGTAATTAAAACAACGTTTAGTGTTTGTGGTATCCAATACATCTTTAATCTTCTGATATTTCAGGGTATTGATCTTGCAAAGAATCTATTGTGAA